AACTTTCCCATTTATCACTAAGCCTACTTATCTTTATAACTTTCTTTTTTATGACTAAGCCTACTTATCTTTATAAACATTTCCTAAAAATAAGAAAACTACACAATGGGATATTATATGTAAATTGATCTAATATAAATGCGCATATTTGACAGTCTATCTTCACATATACTGACACAACTGAAGCCACTAAAATAAAAGTAGTCCCATTACCAACTAAGCAACAGCCTTTAAAATAATGTTAGTTGTTAAGTTAAACACATACTCACAGTCACATCTGACCAGTACAGTTTTCTAGCTTGAAAATCTATTGCAAGTCCATGAGGATCACCCAACTCTGTATTAATTATTGTTGTTTTATTACTGCCATCTCCCCTAGTTCTAAAGATTGCTGCGGGTCTACGTACTTCTGACCAAAACAAATATCTAATAAGAATAAAAATGATATTAATAGTAAAACTGTCAGTACTAATACATGTACAATGAAAATAAGTGTAGTTCCACAATTGGTTAGTCCCACAGTGTGTACATTTAATTGGTTGAAATAGTGTTAAAATAAAATTAAAATAGAGTAGTGTCAAAACATAACACACCCTGACTCAAAGAAAGTCAAGGTTGATGTGGTCAATGATTTTTAAAAACATTTGTGATGTTAATTATTCTAAATGCACGAAATCACATTGCAATCGTCACCTGGTGTTGAACCAAACTCAATCAGTTTGATGATGGATCCTTACATGTATTCACACAATATTATACACGCTGTACTTGTAATAAGGTTCCAATTATTGTTTTTAAGTAAACTACCAAACAAAACAAAACAAAACAAAACAAAACAAAACAAAATGTTGCACACTGCATGTTAAACTGTCAAGGTATTTCGAGGTCTCAACATTTGTTACTCTTGTGACTTTTTTTTTGGCAAACTGCAAGTGGTGATAGATAGCAAATGTGGAGCAAGTTGCCATAGAAACCAATATTCCATATTTTAGACTGCATGACAGTGCTGCGTGGCCATCTTCATATCATATTGGCATATGGCAATTTAATGTATTTTATGACCAAGTATTGTCAGTTTGTTGTACATGCACAACTACAGTGGATTTCAGTAAATTTGATATGCTGATATATAATTAATGAGCTCATACATGTATGACCATAAAGGGTCATCTGATAGGTTAACCATGCCAATTGTCCGATGCCATCATTATAGCACTGGCTGCATATTCCTTTCTGCAACAGTGTTTTAGATATCACAGTAATGCATATTAAGAGGATCACATGACTATCAGGTGTTGATCACATGACTATCAGGTGTCGATCACATGACTATCAGGTGTTGATCACATGACTATCAGGTGTCGATCACATGACTATCAGGTGTTAGTCATATTCCTTGTCCAATGCATACGAGTAGGGAGCAAGTGTGAAAATGTCAGATTTATCAAAAAAGTAATAATTTGGTCTTTACCCTTCCATTGGGTGGACAACGACTGATACCGGTTGTCGGAGGTTGGTGATGAGTGTTCTCTGCACAGATGTCTGCATTAACCATACTACAGACAATGAATTGAGCATAGAGTCCACATAATAGAGGTTATTAGACACCCAATCAATGGCAATGCTAACGACGTGGCTAAACATCTTATTATGAACTACGGGCTCATAACCTGAATAGAGATAAGAAAGCAATTATTTAATTATTATACATTATCATAATAACAGTTTTTTTTTATATAGTGCTTTTTGACAAACTACATGAAAGATCAGATCTATCCCAATGACCAATAATATTCACTGTTACACAGGTTTCTCTAAAGATAACCAATCAAAAAGCTTGTTACACAGGTTTCTTTTAAGATAACCAATCAAAAAGCTTGTTACACAGGTTTCTTTTAAGATAACCAATCAAAAAGCTTGTTACACAGGTTTCTTTTAAGATAACCAATCAAAAAGCTTGTTACAGACCTGAACCATCTAGCTTTGTCCGAGCAATCCATTGTTTGTTGATGTCAGAAAAATAAAGGAATTCATTTCGCACATCATAATCCACACCACTGTATTTTGAGCCTCTATCCGACACTGGAAAAATTGCATCTCCTCTCTTGTTCAGATCCAGTGAAATTCCTCGAATGACATGGTCTTGTGTTACCAGGAGAAATTTATCTATTTCTGCAAATACAATATAGAAAATAGACAACAGTAGCAGAAAAGCAGCTACTTACAGAGTTTCAGAGCATGTAAAACAAGCCATGCATGGCACAGTCCCAGTTAGTTATCGAATTTAAGATAAATAGTTTTGTTTATAGTAATATAGCTGGAATATAAACATGTCAGGAATATGATTATTATGATGATTGTTTAACATTTAAATGATTGACATTTGTATCTGATCGTCAAACGAGTATTGAGAGATATTGCTCTGGAACAGCATCAATTAAAACAAAATCAGCCATTTTTAATACATGTATAATGAATATATAATATTTGAACATAGTCAGTCAAAGCATGTCAGAGATACATGTATGGATCTAGAAGCCCATTCATTAAAACAAAATGGCCACTAGTCAGCCATTCTGAACTTGATCTAATGTATGTACCAAGGTGAACAAAATCCATCCATAAATGCAAGAAATGCTTGATTTTCATGATTTTTTAGCACAAAAATGGCTACCATTCGGCCATTTTTAATAGGATCGTCAAACCAATATATCTGTATATATATGACATGATGCATAATGAATATTTAAAATTTGAACATAATCAGTCATAGCAAGTCAGCAAGTCAGAGATATGGCACTAGAACCACATTCATTAAAACAAAATGGCCGCCAGTCAACCATTTTGAATCTTATCTGAAAACAAAATGTGCATCAAGGTCCTATAATGTGCAACGTCTATACAGAGTTTGAACAAAATCCATCTGTTAACAGCCGAGAAATACTTTATTTTGATGATTTTTAGAACAAAAATGGCCGCCATTCGACCATCTTGAATTAGATCGTGAAACAAATTGATGTATGATGTATGTGTGAAATTTCATTGTAATTGGTCCAGGCATTTCTAAGATACAGGCACGCACAACGCACGCACGGAGGTCAAAACACAAGTCCGAACAGGGACTAACAAGCGACCTGGCGGTCGAAATAGCTCCGCTGTCTTCATTATCATGGAACAAGAATCAGTAAAGTGGCATTGTGGTTGTAATACAGTCAGTCATTTAGAGAACATTGCACTTGAGTTACAGTTGCTTGCAGTTGCAATTATGAACGTTTATAGTGTTCATAAGGATAGTGCATTTCATTGGACAAACATCATTGAGGCTAAACTTCGTGGATGTGCAAAAACCTGAGAAATAGTCGAGAAAAAAAAAATATGTTTTTGTTTGAAAATTGTAATCATGTTTTTGAAATGTTATCCTTTCTAATAACATTATACATGTACATATACGTAATTATTTTGTTACACCCAAGAACAAATGTTCAATAAATCAGTGCAGTAATAATCTTATGATCAGATATAAGAGTCAATTACTCAGTTTTACATAAGACATTGCTGAATGCAAGATCAATTGTTGTGCCATACACTGGGGGAAAAATCTGGTATCTTATTTTTTAATTTTCTGTGGAATGTTGATACACAAAAAGTTTTGCTGGAAATACCTTCAGCCAAAAATTTGACACTGCAAGAAATATTACTTGAGCAACTGTGATTGCATTGTCACTAGTTGCATGTGAATATTTAACAAAAGACAAACACAAAAATAATTTTAATGGAAAGTAATATTTATTACGTAAAAACACTTCCACAAACAGCACAGTGAACTCACTCTAATTGGAATAGTACAACACTGGGATAGTAATAACTGAAACTAAAAGTAACATTATTCATATGCAAATTACGACATTAAATCACATTCTTGGGCATATCGGAAGATAAGATGGATATTGTTAGGCAACTGTTTGAAAGTATACTGACCGTCCAAATTATTATGTGTGCAATTTAAGGGACCTGATCGATATAAGCAGAATAATCATCGCATTTGTCATCAAAAATACCAGTTAATTAACTTACTTGTGCTATTACATATTCAAAGTATACTTAAAAGTTGTATTATGTTTTATATTTAGTTGAAAGCCCTCTGTAAATAGGGCTTACGGTTTTGAACTAACAGTAGTTATCAAAAATAACATTTTTTACCAAAAATGAGAAAAATATTCACTAAAAATGCAAATTTGCATATTTTGAGATGAATTCAACAAATCTGAGAGAGGACCACCCCATGTATCCTTTGCTGCTAATATGAAAGCAATTGGACTTACGATTTAGGAATAGTTGTTGAAAATAAAACAAGCAGCCAGTCGACTGAGATAGCTCCGCTGTTAGCAATGCACATTTCAATTATTAAAAGAACAGGAGATATCACTTTTCACCAAAAATGACAAAAATAATCATCAAAATTAGATACTTGAAGATATCATCATGAAATGAACAAATTTGAGAGTGGTCCACATGTAGTACCTATATATGTAATATTAAAGCAATTGGACTTGCGGTTTTCAAAAAAAAGTCAAAAATATCACTTTTTACCAAAAATGACAGAAATATTCACTAAAATTAGAGAATTACAGATATCATTACAAAATGAACAAACCTAAGAGAGGTCTACCGAAGGTACATATACACCAAGTATCAAAGCATTCATGCTTGTAGTTTTGTAGAAGAAGTCGAAAAAGTAAAACATTGAAACAAACGGACGACGACGACGGACAATCACTCATATCACTCAACAAAGTTGACAGCGGAGCTAAAAAAAAACAAAAACAGGGACCCCCTACAAATGATCAGACTTTCACATGTCAGCTTAGTTCCCCCCCCTTCCCCCGCATACATAATGGTAGAATATTTATTTACTTACTTGTACATGATATCTGATCACTGTCAAGTTCATAGCCGGTTTTACATTTACATCTGTATCCAAGACCACCATTGTCCGTTGTGTGACTAACAACACACAGCTGTTGGCAGCCACCATTAATGCTACCACATGGATTAGGTACTGTGGGAATATGAGGACAATATTTTACCACATAAGAAAACACACTGACTCGCTCTCTAATGAACAGCTGCAGATACTTTCATGTAAAATGCATGCAAGGTTTTGTCTCTGTATCAACTGTGATTAATTTAAATCCCATTTTGAAAATTTGTGAGGAATCATCTGCTGAACAATATATACTGTGAAATACTTTATTTTCGCTTGGAATTAATTTTCGCCATTTTCGCCGTAGGAATGATTTAGTGAAAATAAAATCCATGAATATACCTTTCTACTTATATTTTACATTCAACTCGTCAACAATAGGTGAAAACAAATTCCATACAAAATACCCATATTTCAGCAAAAATTAATTCCAGCAAAGATAATTTTACAATACATCATGAATTGTTGAGATTGCTGTGAGGTGTTGAACAATTAACAGAAGAATATGAATTTATCTGTAAACATCAGATACAGTTAAAAAGGGTTTATTTAGTAGTAGAGTTCATGCATATTTACCTGTGACCTGACATATTTACCTGTGACCCGACATATTT